GGTGGGGTGGGGTGGGGTGAGGTGAGGTGGGGTGGGGTGAGGTGAGGTGAGGTGAGGTGAGGTGAGGTGAGGTGAGGTGAGGTAAGGTAAGGTAAGGTAAGGTAAGGTAAGGTAAGGTAAGGTAAGGTAAAGTAAAGCAAAGTAAGATGAAGTTCTTCTACATCGGACGTTACCCCTTTTTTATATTTTATATTTTTGTCTCGAATTGTAATTACTATTCTATACCCAGTGGTGACGTTAATATAAGATATTAAGTGCGTCAACACTATGTATTGTTTATTTGAATGCTGAAATAAAAAAAGATTCTCGTTAAACGTTGTTTACAGTCGATCAGAGTGTCAGAGCAAAGATCAAACGATTTTAACATCATCTTCAATATGAATACTAAGTTGTTTGCCAAAGCGTAATAATACAGACAGTAAAAACGCACGTGTTGATCGATATCGCAACAAGCAGCTTGCAAGAAATAAACTCCAGCGTCAAAACTTTCCCATGGCAAAAAGGCCAATATGTAAGCCCTTCTACATATTTCAAGTTATTCCGTGTGCATTACGACGTGCGACCATGTTGATTTGATTATATGGAAGACATCCTCTGGGAACCCCAAATCTGATGCGAGCGTGTGAATAAAAAAAGTTTGGCAAAAAAGTTGTCTTCATTATGAAATCTACGTGGTCACGAAGTTTGCACAAATGACTGAACACACAGCGTATGGTAAGGCGAATAATAGACTCTTCATTTTCATTGCTTCACATTTTCTTCTTTGGAATTGATTTTGGCATCCTACGATATTAGTAGCCTCTACCTGGCACCGCGGATCGCTGGAAAAATAGTAGAAATAAAGGGATAGTATACCAGAGAAGATCCGGCCAGAGTGAAGATCCAATTTGCTCTGGTCGGATCTTCTCTGGTATACTATCCCTTTATTTCAACCAATTTCTACTATTTTTCCAGCGATCCGCGGTGCCTGGTAGAAGCTACGATATTAGTATAGTTTTCCAATATTTTTGGTGCAATTTACGACATATATTTTCTCATTTTGCAGCTACGATTTACAGTATAGTCAATTTCTTTTTCAATTCCTTCGCGCGCGGATGTCATCCATATAATCAAATCGACAAGGCCTAATTCAAAGAACTGCAGGGATAACATATGACAGGGTAGATTCTGGGTGATGTGATAAGGGGGATGTGCTTAACCGAGTTCAAAGAAACTGGGACACCGTTGCCAGCTGGCTCTGCAGATTTACGAGCGCACCTGTCTATTACGGCGTCCTGTTTCTCAGGCCGTGTTTAAGTGAAGTCACCCAAACCGCGATTCGGGTAGCTCGCATTCCTCACATCTGGTCCACGTGCCACACACTCCTTTGAAACCGTGTCCAATCACAATTCGCTTAAGCTACATTTATTGTCGTTTGATGAAAACACGCAAGGTGGCGTGTTATTAATGTCAGAGGTCAACGACCTGCTTGCTGATGCCCCCCTCCCAGCGTATCTCGGCCGAATGCCGACGTGGTCCTGCCAAAGGCGGTGAAGCTCGCCCTAGAACGGACACATTATTTGACCATTACTGCTCTTTATGTTGCTGCCACGTAAAAGTTGGTATTGCATATAGATAAAGAAATATCACCCCGTAATCCATTACCAGGCGAAGTTACATTGAAATCACATTGCGTTCAGACGCAAATCGCGATGCGGAAAACCGATTCGAAACCACCTCTAGAAGTGGCTTGGGATCGAGGCGCTTTCAATGTGATTTGGAGCGTTCAGATGGAGCCACTTGAAACCACTTCGGGGTAAACCACATGTAAAGCGCCTTGGGTGACTTCACTTAAACACGGCCCAACAGAAGATAGATGGAAACATTTCAGCAGTCACAAAAAACCTCTTCTGAAGTTTTCTGTAGCTCCACGATGACAAAGTCTCTCTAGACGGACACATCTTCGGGCTTATGAAAGACAAATCGAGGCATGGAGAAGAGTTGAAGGATGATCAATCTTGTATACAGTGTCCCGCATTAAAAGACTGCGAGAAAACAACTTTTCCTTTTGGGTTTCTTTTTTTACTCCTAAGGCCATGTTGATTTGATTATATGGATGACATCCGCGCGCGCATGAATTTTCGGCCGTTTCCAAAAAAAAGTTTTCAACCATACTGTAAATCGTACAAAACAGTTGCAAAATGAGACAAAAAATATACCGTAAGTTAACAAAAAAATAAGTAAAAACTATACCAATGTCGTAGAATGACCAAAAATACAAACGAAAAAAGACGAAATTGTAAAGAAATGAACTTGAAGACTAGATTATTCGCCAAACCATATTCTGTGCCATTTGCTCAACCCTCATGACCACGTAGATTTCATAATGAAAACAACTTTTTTTTCTTGCAAAACTTTTTTTTATTCGCACGCGCGCATCAGTTTTGGGGCTCCCGGAGGATGTCATCCATACAATCAAATCAACATGGCCTTACGTGCATTATCTGTGGTTCTATTGTTACGAACGTTTTGTACTGGCATATTTCTTGGCCAAAATTCCAGAAATGAGCTTAAAGGACTGGCCATTTAGTCTATTGAGATGTATAGAAACCACCATAGTACTTGAATTTGAGATAGTGTGTTCTTCATTCTTACATTATAGAGTAAAATGTAGTTCCCTGGTGGTATCAAAATAAAGACTATGACTTATCATATTATTACAGATAGCCTACATCACGTGACCCTTCACCTTGCGAAGGCCCTAGGAGCAGTGGTGCTGTCAATTGAGTAGGTTGAACATGACAAAATAAAAAAAAAAATATTAATTATTAAAGTGATTAAATATTGACAGATAACATTCACAAATAACTCTCAATTTGGTCACTATAGTCAAGATTTTATACAGGATCCAACACTCTAGTCCAACCCTAAAAAAAACTATTTGATTGATATGTTAAAGAAATTTTAATGCTGCTATTTTGTATTCATTTCATTGGTACTTTGGCTGCTTACAGATATCGACTTGCCCCAGAATATGTATTTCCGGCCGGTTTGAATGACTGTGTGACGGCAACCAAACATTTCATTCAGAATACCGAGAGGTATGGTGCCTTCATGTATATTTTGGATAATATTTTTTGTGAAATAACGTCTACAGATTACATCTCCCCTCCCTACAAATGTACGTAATTGTAGTAAGTAATTGAGTAATTGTATATCGTTGAGTCGTTGGCGATAGCCTTACCTCCACAAAAGAGTAACAGCACATCAGTAGCGACGTTGTGCGGATAGTGTGAAAATTGCAAAATCATCACTAAGGCATTGGGGACGTTTGTGGAGAAATACGATTACAGTTTCAAATTTTTTATACGTAAATGGTATTGGTAAAACAAGATGTAGACAGGTACATGTAAGACCGTAATCTTTTACACGCAATACTTAAATTTGTAACTGCAAGAAGTACTTCATCATGTACAGAAAAACGCTAATATCATTTTCAAATTTAATATTCACAGGTTCTCCGTCGATCCAGCACGAATCGGGGTTATGGGAGACGGTTCAGGAGGAAATCTTGCCACGGCCGTTCTCCTA